AGATATCTATCTATCTATCTATACACACATACACACACACACGTGATTTTGCTCTTCCACTGTGGGGGGCGCATGCGTGCAGCCGAAGCGGAAGCAGCAGAGGACGATCAACAGGTGCTAGGCAATGGATGAGCGTGGACACCCGTTGATCAGCGAGGAGAGTGACAGGACACAGCTCTGCCTATGTAAACAAGGCAGAGCTGTGTTCTCTCACCGGCAATGTGCTGGATTGTCTGTTCCCTGCAGAGCAGGGAATGCAATCTATCACATCAAAGAGTAAAAACAGCACATAACACACAGTAAAACACAGGTTAGGCACATATTTCACCCTTTGATTGCCCTAGATGTTAACCTCTTCACAGCCAGTGTCATTGAATACAGTGACAGTGTAAACAGTTATTTTTAGCACTGACCACTGTATTACTGTCAGACTGTCTGTCCGCCGCGATATCGCAGTCTCTGTGGAGAAAAAAATTATATAAATTTCATTTATGGACAGCGTTGCATGCAATTGCCAGCTAGCCCTTTTGCAGCCAGAACAATTTTTGCATTTTTTGCACAAGTTTAAAAAATTATTTCACCTATAACTGAAATACCATGTTTGGACTGGTTGACTCTAAACAAACAGTGTAACATATCTGTTCTGGAACAAACATGAGTGACACTAATCCAATCTTTTCTAACATCTATATATATTCTTGAAAGGACCTTTAAAATGATTCATAGTACAGAAATGTGCTTCTGTGCCAACAGTTTTACAGAATACACATAAGCCATCTCGGAGCGTAGAGGACAAGGATTGGGACAACTTACAGCAACTCTGTTGCTAAAACAAAATTCCCTCTTTAAAAGGGTCCCCTGCAAAAAATAAAGTATATACACAGTATCTCTTTCGCTGATGTAATGAACTGTAATTACCAAAGATTCTTCAGAATCCAACACTTTAGGGTGCCAGCTTTCTCCCACCAATGTTAATACTGTGCCCTGCAGTGATCAAGTGACTGGAAGGAGGAACCGCATAGCGCAGCAAAGGGCCAAAAAATGTAAACTCTTGAAAGTGGCAGATTCTAAATAATCTTTCGGTGGCTATTTATTTTCATTACAGTGACATTCAGTGGTGTGGGCAAAGGAATAGGTATTTACTGACTCTTTACAGGCATCCCTTTTATTAACAGTTTTTAGTCACTTGAAGCTGAGCATTAATGTAAAATATACATTTTGAAAACCATGCTTAGTTTCTGCTGGCATGCAGCTTACAGATGAAACTTAATCTGCTTATATATAAAATTGAGCCTGCGCAATGGACTATAATTAATATATAGAGAAACTGGCTGCTACTAGCAATACCACAAGTGTATATACAAACAAATGTGTAAATACAAGTACAGGCGTACCTTGGCTTACGAATTTAATTCGTTCTGCAGGACTTTTCGTATAGCGAACAATTCGTAAACCGAAACGCCGTTTCTCATAGGAATGCATTGAAAACCAATTAATCTGTTCCTGAGGTCAGAAAAAAGTGAACGCTACTAAAATACCACATGAGTTATTTTATAAAGTCATGTGGTATTTTAGTAGTGTAGTGACAACCATGTGTTAATGTTTCAGCTGTCAGCAGAGTTCCCCACTGACAGCTGAATGTGTGAAAAAATTGTGAAAAAAGACAGGACACGGTCTTTGACAAGTCCTTTATTAAAAGAAAAAACTAAAATAATGTCCCCCGCAGTGGATTCAACGTCAATCACGATGCCCGCCACCGCTGCCGACTCGCAAAAAAAAGAATTAAAAAAAAAAAAAAAAAAGGCTCCGCTTCTGACGATGGCTTCCAGCCATCTGTCTGCTCTGGTGGTTTGACAGTTCTTAAATAGGTAAGGGGCGGGGCCACCCAGCGACATCACCCAAGTGACCCTGTCCCATGTGGGGTAGAGTGTTTCACATTGGGACTTTAATTATTTGGATGTGGAAAGTGGTGCACTGGGACTTTAAAATTTGTATTAAGTGCACTAGATTTATGTATATTAATATTAATATGTTTGACTGATATTGGTTTAATTTGGGAGCATTGATGTTCATGATTTTTTTTTTGCACATTACTTCACTAATATAGCACAGGCTTAAAGCATTGGTCTAAGCACACGATATATAAGAATGTCATATTTCCCCCTGTCATAGGGATACACGGAGGGGTACACTTTAAGTTTTTATGTTATATAAAGGTCACATTTATTTGGGGGCCACCATCACGAATGGAGTGTGGCACACTTAATCTCTATTGGCAGCGCCGCATTTATTTATATTTTGAATCTGTTTATTTTTTGTCATCCCTAATTCTCCTCTTTACACCATCATCATGCTGACTAATAGCTTCAATAAACGTTTTCATCTTTAATTACAGTGGATATAAAAAATTCTACACACCCCTGTTAAAATGTCAGGCTTCTGTGATGTACAAAAATGAAAAAATAAATAATTTCAGAACTTTTTTCACCTTTAATGTAACCTATAAACTGTACAACTCAGTTGAACAACAAACTGAAATCTTTTAGGTGGAGGGAAGTAAAAATAAAAACTGAAATAATATGGTTGCATAAGTGTGCACACCCTTAAACTAATACTTTGTTGAAGCACCTTTTGATTTTATTCCAGCACTCAGTCTTTTTGGGTAAGAGTCGAGCAGCATGGCACATCTTGACTTGGCAATATTTGCCCACTCTTCCTTGCAAAAATACTCCAAATCTGTCAGATTGTGAGGGCATCTCCTGTGCACAGCCCTCCTCAGATCACCCCACAGAATTTTGATCGGATTCAGGTTTGCTGGGCCATTCCAAAACTGTAATCTTCTTCTGGTGAAGCCATTCCTTTGTTGATTTGGATGTATGCTTTGGGTCGTTGTCATACTGCAAGATGAAGTTTCTCTTCACGTCCTGCTTTCTAGCAGAAGCCTGAAGCTTCTGTGCCAATATTGACTGGTATCTGGAACTGTTCAGAATTCCCTCTACCTTGACTAAGACCCCAGTTCCAGCTGAAGAAAAACAGCCCCAAAGCATGATGCTGCCACCACCATGCTTCACTGTGGGTATGGTGTTCTTTTGGTGATGTGTAGTGTTGTTTTTACGCCAAACATATCTTTTGGAATTATGGCCAATAAGTTCAAACTTGGTTTCACCAGACCAAAAACAAATTTTCCCACATGCTTTTTGGAGACTTCAGAAATGTTTTTGCAAATTTTAGCCAGGCTTGGATGATTTTCTTCGTACGAAGAGGCTTCTGTCTTGCCACTCTACCCCATAGCCCAAACATATGAAGAATACGGGAAATTGTATTCACATGTACCACACAACCAGTACTTGCCAGAAATTGATACAACTCCTTTACTGTTGTTGTAGGCCTCTTGGCAGCCTCCCAGACCAGTTTTCTTCTGCTCTTTTCATCAATTTTGGAGGGACGTCCAGTTCTTGGTAATGTCATTGTTGCACCATATTTTCTCCACTTGAGGATGCCTGTCTTCACTGTGTTCCATGGTATATCTAATGCCTTGGAAATTCTTTTGTACCCTTCTCCTGACTGATAAATTTTAACAATGAGATCCCTCTGATGCTTTGGAAGCTCTCTGCGGACCATGGCTTTTGCTGTTGGATGCGATTAAGAAAATGTCAAGAAAGACCTACTAGAACAGCTGAACTTTATTTGGGGTTAATCAGAGGCACTTTAAATGATGGCAGGTGTGTACTGACTCCTATTTAACATGATTTTAAATGTGATTGCTTAATTCTGAACACAGCTACATCCCCAGTTATAAAAGGGTGTGCACACTTATGCAACCACATTATTTTAGTTTTTTTATGTTTACTCCCCCCACCCTGAAAGATTTCAGTTTGTTTTTCTGAGTTTACTGAGTTGTACAGTTTATATGTTACATTAAAAGGTGGAAAAAGTTCTAAAATTATTTATCTTTGTCTCATTTTTTTACAATGAGAGCTGGGAGTATAATTGAGGGGGCTAATGTGCAGAACATTCATGGGTGTGGCCTGAAAGTGGGCATGGTAAAAAATGTGGGATTTGTTTCATGTTGTATAGCTTGTAGTATGCCACCTTTCTCCCTTGGTTTACACACAATAGGGCATAGGGGGTATACTGAACAAACTGTTGCATTAACTTTTACTTAACAAGTAGCAGAGTATTCGTTTTACCACCCCCTTTTGTTGCAAAGGCAAGTGGAGGAGTGTGCACACATGTAGCGGCAATAATGCTTTAAATGGGTGTGACAAAAATTATATCTTCAACTGAATGGTGCCACCCCAAAACCACAATGGTGACACTGTACTACTTGTAGGGGTGATGAAGATTTTTTTTTTTTTTTTTTACACTGATTGCTTTTACACCCATAAAGGCTGCAAAAGCAATCATTTCTCCTTCTCTCTGGCTGCATTCTGGCAGCCATTGAGAACTACTGTGTGAGCTGTGATTGGTCACAGCTTGTCACATGGTACAAGGCTGTTGTGAATAGCCTTGTACCATGTGAGCTCTGTGATCATTCACAGATTTCACATGTGGTAACCAGTTATGTCAGAAGTGACATCTTGCTTACTACTCTGCATGTGATCACTGATTGGTCAATCAGTGATCACATGATCGGGACCTCGCACAGATGTCCCGTACAATGATCGGTGTTCCACTGACAAAGCAGGCACCAGATCGCAGTGCTGCGAGCTCCCAGGGAGCGTGCATAAACAGGGGCGGGGAGGCGTTTATAAACGGCCACCCGCCCCTGCACTGCCACCGTCCGGCCGTTTACATACAACGGCCGGACGGGAGGTGGTTAAGGAGCTGTGAACAGAAAGTGCCTATTTTGCACTAGCTGTCCTTTAATAAGGACATTTTTTGTTCATCTGTTACATGCAAATATTTTTACAGATGTGGCCATGTGACATCAAAATCTTAGTCAAGCCTCTTAAAATGCATACTTGTACAAAATGTTTCAATAGCCTTGAAAAAATTACCTTCTCCTCCATTTCATAGTCAACTCCGAATATAGGGCTTGCAGAGTAGACTCTGTGCAGAGAGTTTATCTCTTTTACCGAATCCTGCAGTTTCTCCACTGGATCAATCTTAAAGCCAAGTACATAGCCACCACTCTGATTTTCAAGAGAAGACAAATAACACAATAATATGAAACAGTGTTACATTTCAAGAACATTGCAGTTTTCTTCAGCATTCAGTGCAACTATAGACAAAATACAAAATTACATATATAGCATTAAAACAGCATCTTCATTTTGAGTCCACCCCTGTAACAGGTTCATTCTGCAGCAAAATCACATAGCAGCATTTTCACCCTGTGTGCAGGGTAGTCTTAGAAGGACACAAGCATAGTTTTAAATGGGCTTTAAAGTGGAACAAAACTCTCAATAAACATTTTAATTCATCTGCTGCTAGCATTAGTAAATAGGAAGGTATATTATATTTGTTTTAAACTTTATTTTTGCATTTCTTCAGTTGCTTTCTTGTTTCTGGCCTAGACCAAAATGATGTCATATATCCCAGAAGCCTTGATGTGCAATTGTTTTCTTTCATCTGGAGGAGGGACTCTCTAACTTAAGCACACTCTCCTGTCTGCAGATGGATTTCAGGAAGTAAATGCTACACGAGTCATCTTCCCTTACTTAAGATGGCCATGGCTTAAAAAGCTATGGGGATGTTTTCCAAAGTGATTTCTCACCAAAATAAAGCATGGGACAAGGATGGATGGGAGAGTTTGCTTTAACTATTAAAAATGAATTAAACTGTGTTTTCAGCTTATGGTTCTCAGATTCAGTTTAGTTCCATTTTAAGTAAAAGACAAACAAAATAAATACCCACTATTGCAAAATCCCGCCCACCATAATACAGGCTTTAGTTCCACCTTTAAGCCCAACTGCAGCTAACAATTTTTAAAGGCAGGAAAAGAATTCAGACACTTTGTAAAATATGCAACGGTGTGCATGACACCTCTTGGACTTGTCTCTTACATTTACATCTCACTTCTTTTGGACTTCGGGAGGACAGCTACATTTTGGGAGCTCTGATGCTGGACACTTTGGTGTTAGCTTTTTCAGCTGCAGAGTCCTTTCCAGCTGCTGCCCCCCCCCTCCCCCATCCTACTGTGCAATCACATACTGCTTGGTATTATGTAAGCTCATTAAAAAAATACAAAAGCTTTGAAAAACAGGCAGAGGACGGGGGGGGGGGGTGTCAAAGCCAAGTGTAGTGCCAGGAGTGCCAGTGGAGGACACGAAAAAAAATAGGATTAGGGCTGCTCTGTGCAAAACCATTGCACAGAGCAGGGAAGTATCACGTTTGTTATTTTTTTAAAAAAAGAACACTTCCAAAAAACAAACCTTTAATATCACTTTATGCAGTTACAGCAATATTTTTTTACTTCGGGAAAAATACAAATAAAAGGTGATTATTAGAAGCAACCTGCCAGTGTAATATGGTTTTTTAATCCCCTCCAACTTCCACTTTTGCTGGACAGCTTAGTATGCAAGTGGAAAAATAAGGCCTCATTCACATGGTGTTTAAAGTGATATTAAAAGTTCATTTAAAAAAAAATTAAAATAACATACATGTCATACTTATCTGCTCCGTGCAATGGTTTTGCACAGAGCAGCCTCAATCCTTCTCTTTTCTAGTCCCCCGCTGGCACTCCTAGCTCCTCCCCACTGCCGAGTGCCCCCCATAGGAATTACCAATATAGTAGTGCAGTCCTAAATAGCAAAAAAATGGCCTGGTCATGAAGAGGGTAAAACCTTCCGGAGCTCAAATGGTTAAACTTCAGCTGTGGTGGTAAAAATCCAACTCATGCCTGTGGCTGGCTTCACAGATGCATGCAATTGTTGGGATATATATGGAGAGATTACCTGTGATTAGGGACAGATGATTGCTCCAGAACACAAGCTGTTTGCAACCAGGAGTAAATATCTGTCACTAACTGCAGGTAATCGCTCCATGTGCAATTACATCTGAACACTGGCAGACAGATGCGGCCACTGTCAGCTTGTCATTGCTTTCTAGGGGCTGAGCAACCACAGCTCTTTGCAAGCATCTGTAAATCAAGCCGCAGGAATTGCTGGATTCTTGCCAGAGCTAGAGTTAAAATTCTGTGTGCACAAGGCCTAACAGATCTATCTGTAGAATCAACAGGCAATATAACTATATTATAGGGGGACTCAGAAAATAAGAAATCTGCTATATAATGTTATTCATAGACTGTATCTAACATTAATTTTAAGAATTTTGCTTATAGCTACTATAAAGGCTACTGAAAATATGTATACAGATCACTGCAGTGAGTATTAATTGTAATTTTGTTTAATTAATTAATTTTTTGTTTAATTAATTCCATTTTACATTGTTTTATATCTTTACATTTACATGCAGACTAAGTTGATCAGAAAATGTGGGAGGAGTTAGAACAAACTGTAACACTGTCAGGGATTTGTGTGTATGAAAGATGAATGTAGAATCCCTGGCAGCTTGGGCTAGGTTAGATTCTTGCTTGCTCCAGGTATTTGGAGATGTGAGTGTTTATGCTTTGTGTTTTATGGTCACATTAGAAATACTTGGATCAATCAACAGTTTACCTTTGTGTATGGCTTAACTCCCTGAAAATACAGAAGTAGACCAGTGTTTCTCAACCTTTTTCAAGTCGAGGCACACTTGAAAAGTACTTTCAGTCCCGACGCACCCCATACTACAGCTTGATTCATGTTATGGTGTGTCACGGAACACATGCAAAATCCTACTCGTTCCTGACACACAGACAAATGTTCTGCTCTTTGGGGGTGCCATTAATCCTTAATGGTACCCCACAAATTGGCAAACGCGGTATGTTTAAAAAAAAAAAAAAAAAAAAAAGGGCCAGGGACTTCTTTCCCTGCATCTCTGAAAATGAAATGAATGGCCTGCCCTGTACACAGACACACAGATGTGAACCAAGGGCTTTTTCACACGTGAGGTTGGAGGGCAGTAAAACCATGCAGTTGAGCTGTTTTTTACCACCCCCAACTGCTCCCTCTTTAGCTACAGAGATAGCAACTGGGGATGTATGCAGGCTGGGGCACAGCTGAAAGTATACCCAAAGAGGAATGGGGCTGCATTGCACACAGTTGCGGTGTGATGTTGCTGAATTTATGGGGTTAAAACAGGTATTGAGGAGTCAACTTATTGTCTCCTCATTGTCTGTCAAATTCCTGTGAAAAATAATCTGAGCATGGATTGCTTTTCAGAGGAGCGGCAGTACTTGCTGCTATTACAAATGATAAAAAAAAGCAGTTCTGATAGTACAATAGGGGGGTCACATGTACAAAACACATACACACACAAACACATGTATATACGTATACACACACACATGCAAACACGTACATGGACATGTACACACAAAAACATGTACAAACACACACACATATACCGGCCACTTTATTAGGTACACCTTGCTAGTACCGGGTTCGACCCCCTTTTGCCTTCAGAACTGCCTTAATTCTTCATGGCATAGATTGGAATCTCCTCAGAGATTCTGGTCCTTATTGACATGATAGCATGCCTTTCTATCATCTCGAACCAATCTGCCCATTCTCCTTGGACATCAACAAGGTATTTTCATCTACACAACTGCAGCTCACTGGATGTTTTCTCTTTTTCTGACCATTCTCTGTAAACCCTGGAGATGCCTGTGTGTGAAAATCCAGTAGATCAGCAGTTTTTGAAATACTCAGACCAGCCCGTCTGGCACCAACAACAATGCCACAATCAAAGTCACTTAAATTCCCTTTCTTCCCCATTCTGATGCTCGGTTTGAACTTCAGCAAGTCGTCTTCACCATTTCTAGATGCCTAAATACATTGAGTTGCTGCCATGTGATTGGCTGATTAGCAATTTGTGTTACCAAGCAATTGAACAGGTGTACCTAATAAGGTGGCTGGTGAGTGTATATACAGCCCTTTAAAATTTGTAGTACAGTACATTCCCTCACACACCGGGTATAGCACTCTAGGGGGAGGCAGACAGCACAACACACACTCCCCTCCTTTCACCTTGCTTAGCTTGACCGAGCTCCCTCATAGCTGAGCTCAGGCTCATCTGACCGCTTTTCTCTACCAGGATGCCACGGCACCCCTGTGGACCTCAGGCGGCTCCCCGGTTGAGAACGGCTAGACTAAACAACTGAATTCCACAGTACAGGACAAACATTTACTATTTCTACGACATCACAAGATTCTAATCTCTGCTTCCAAATACCTACTCAAATCCTGCAAACGGTAATCAGTGCACATTATTCAGCAACCTACTTTTCTGTTTCCATTCTGATAGTGCTTGACTACATTAGTCATCTTACTACTACCGTATGTCTTAAAATGATAGAGTTACTGCTGTACCTTTAAAAAATGGTTGAGTGAATTAGAAACTCTTCTGTTAAGGTCAGAACATAATAAATAGGTATCTAGCACAGTGGCTAAATGGTTAGCACTTCTGCCTGGCAGTACTAGGGTCGTTGGTTCGAATCCCAGCCACAACACCACCTGCCTGGAGTTTGCATGTTCTCCCTGTGCCTGCGTGGGTTTCCTCCGGGTACTCTGGGTTCTTTCCACACTCCAAAGACATGCTGGCAGGTTAATTGGATCCTGTCTAAATTGGCCCTAGTATGTGCATATATGAATTTAAGTTAGGGACCTTAGATTATATGCCCCTTGAGGGTTAGGGACTAATTTGAATGTACAATTGACAGTGCTATATAAGTACCTGAAATAAATAAAAATAAAAAAATCTAGTTACTATTCAACACTGACTTTGAAAGATAGTAGTCATAGGACTAGGGAACAGAGGGATGCATTTATACCAGACCTGACGAAAGAGATGTAGTTGGAGGTACTCAATTCATATGTAGCTACTGTCATCTCCTCCAAGGATAAAATGATACAGCTATGTTATTATGTATTATACACCATTGCATTTATTCAAGATGGGCAAATGAGACACTGCGACCTGTCAAGTGTTTAGCAGCCGAGGGATCCTTCCGTCACATGGTGTGGGACTGGAAAAGGTTCGGCCACTCTGGTCACAAGTTACTCAGTTTATATCTATCATTTCTGATTTTCTAAATATATGTAGCCCATTAATTTGCTTTCTGGGGGTAATTGAGGATGATATTATGAATAATGATAGAAAAACTTTTTTGAGACTTTTTTTTGTACTTAAACGAATTGTGTTAAATTGGATACAAACTTATGTTCTTGGCTTGGTAGGCTGGAAAAAGTTGGTTAATTTTATTGTCCCTTTATATGAGATGACCTATGAGGCTAGGGAATGCCCAAAAATAATTATGCAAATATGGTCTAGATGGATAGAGACATCAGACACGGTAGAGGAATGCCCTTGAGGGGTAGAATTAGTATAATGTATACGACATGTTAACTGTTGGTCTATTATATACATTTGCTTCTTTGTTGTAATAGGATAATTAGAGACAGTAAATCACTGATGCAAGCACATCAGTTTGCTAGCCTTTTTCCTTTTATATATGAAGTGGTTGTGCTGAGTCCATCTCTCTGGGAACCCAGTTAAGCCACACTGTGCAATGTTATATTGTACATGGACATTGATTGTAGATGTAGCTTTGTACTGAGCTTCATAGATTATGCAACATGTGGTGGATGTTTGAGTGTTTACAAAGGCACTTCAAAAACACAGACAGGGCCAGTGTGCCAGTGAATGGCTGTGAACTGAGCCACCATCAGACAGCTCAGATCACAGAGAGTGCACAGAGCTGATCAGAGTAGATCTGTACTGTGTGAAAATACTTTTGTGAGAAGAAGGGAAGGTGCAGCATTAACCAATGACCATTTGCCACTGCTCACACTGTGCCGTAATGCAGCTTCTGGTGCTGTGTAGAAATGTTTTACAATGCCGACCCCTATACTGGCTGAAGGGGGCAGTGGAAAATAAGGATCATATAAAGGTACATGCAGCGGTAACTGGAGGGGCGGGGAGGGTGGTTAGTGCACATTTTAATTTTGTGTGAAAAGGCAAACTAACCATTTAAACATACTGTAGTACCCACCCTTACTTACATTATACTTTAAAATAAATCATCTGCAGTCAATAAAACACATTTTACATGGAGGCCCCTTGCAGATGCTGGCCAACAGCACTAAAACTATCAGGTTCACATTCACTGTTAACAAACACTGCACTGTCAAACAGATATTAAAAGCATGTAGACTTATGCAATGGGAAAAGAAAACATATGAAGAACATTTGGCATTACTGTTATTGGATTTTACACCACTGCCTGAATATGTTTGAACTTTAAAAAATATTTATTACCTGTTGGGAGCTTTCAATAACCAGTGCTAAACCAAACTTGGAGTCTCGGATCTTAATGGAGCGCTATTTAGAGAAAGGAAATGAAATAGTAATTTATTAATAGTTTTTTTTAACAAGTGATTTTTTTAATAATATCTTAATATTTCACTACTAAGCATACACAACTTTTAGCTATCAATGACAGACAAGGAAATCTGTAAACTCTCATACCATTGGCAGTTTTAGTTTTTACGCTCTTCTTTTAAATTGAGAAAAGAATAAACAGTGATCAGCCATACTTTTATGACCATCCACCTAATATTGAGCAGGTCCTCCTTTTGCTGCCAAAACAGCCCAGACCCGTCGAGACTTGGACTCCACTAGACCTCTAAAGGTATGCTGTGGTATCTGACACAAAGCCATCAGTAGCGGATAATTAAAATCATGTAAATTGAGAGATGGGGTCTCTATGGATCGTACATGTTTTTCCAGCACATCCCAGAGATGCTCAGTTGGCTTGAGATCTGGAGAATTTGGAGGCCAAATTTGCAATGTTACAGGCCACTGCCATCAGGGAGTACCGATTCGACAATGAAGTGTACTTGGTCAGCAACAATGTTTAGGTAGGTAGTACATGTCAAATAACAATCACATGAATTGCAGGACACAAGGTTTCCCAGAAGAACATTGCCCAAAGCATCACACTGCCACCACTGGCTTGCCCTCTTCCCACACTTCATCCCTTCTGCAGGAAAGAGACGTACACACAATCAGCCATGCACATAATGTAAACGAAAATGCTATTCATTAGACCAGGCCACCTTCTGAAATTGCTCCATCATTCAGTTCTGATGCTCAAGTGCCCATTGTAGGAGAAAGAGTGGAATGTTGATAAAATGTAGTAAATGGTGAACTTGATTTGTGATTAAAAGATGCATATTTAGAATTTTAATTTCACAGTATGGGGTTACCCTCTTTTTTAAAGCAAGATCATATCCCAACTAAACACAAGGCAAATAGAACCACATCACAAGTAATAAATAATTGCAATCAAATATTATGATGAAACTGCAAAATACCAAAAAACCTAAATAAGATAAAACTTGAAGTTATGTTTTAACATCAACTAGGTGGACAAAAGCCACTTGAATGGATATAAATCAAATATATTGTTTTCTTAGGTCCTCAGACTATATAGTTGATTGTTAATGGAACTAATGAAGATTATACAATCATAGTAAAACTCATGTGTGATTAGGGAGGCGTGGCCAGGAGCAGCATGGAGTATCATGCTATAGTGAAGAGCTTGCTAGTACGATATCCTGCATTGCTTATTCTGGAACCCCACAGTCCTCTGTTCCATCTCATTGTGTCCCCTGTGGCTCCTGTGACCAAGCTTGCCATGCCATCCCTGAGAAAAGTCACAGATTCTAGCTCTAAATTGGATAGATTCCAGCGGCAAGACAAGGAACCTCCCAGAAAACATGACAGTGCTTCATCTGATGAGTCAGATCCTGCAGGAAATGAGACAGCGAAGATCTTGGGGGCCATTTCATCTTGCCAAACTACATTACCTACTAAAATAGAGGAGGTGAAAGTGGACATTTCACTCATACATCAAGATCTGCAAATGCTTAGAGACCAACTCAAAGAATCAGAGACTAGACTCCGTAGCATGGAGGAGGCTCTTCCCCTATTTCAAGATGTCTCAGATTGACTCCAGCAGTAGGTGAGACAGCTTTTACAAAAGCAGGATGATTTGGAAAACAGGCTACGCAGCAGTAATTTGCAATTTATAGGACTGCCTGAGGGAGCGGAGGGCTCAAAAATATCGGCCTTCACCTCCTGGTCTGTATGTTTGGTTGGGAGGCCTTCTCTCCCACATTCATGGTGGAGAGGGTGCACCGCATTACGGCAAGATCTCCACCTCAGGGGGCACCTCCTTGTACATTTATTGTCAAGCTTTTGAAATATAAAGATTGGGAGCTCTGCCTCACAAGGTTGGAGGGCAATATTCCTTTTGGGAATGTGAAGATAGCTGTATTTTTGGACTTTTTGGTGGTCTTCCAACGCCAGCATAAGAGCTTCACGGCAGCTAAATGCTGCCTCATGATTCAGCACCTCAAGTTTTCCATGCTGTTTCCTGCCCTCTGCGAGTGGAAGGGGATGAAAGGGTACATTTCCTTGATGATCCTGAGCCAGTGCTGACCAGCTGGAACACAGAGTGGTAGAGAAGCTTCCTGATCTCCACACTTCTATCCACTGCTTGTAAGTGATGAAGATTGCCTCTCATCTTCTATGTGGCCACTGCTTTTGTGCCTTGACTCAGAGAGAACAGTTACTGATGGGTTCCTTGTTTCATCCCTACCTTCCCTTCCTCTTCTTTCGAACTTTTTTTCCTTTCCTCCTCTCCACAAATAGTGGAGGGTCCCTGACGGGCCCACTATTGGCTGTCATCTAATTGTCTGTTTCTCAGCACAGGCAAAAGTCCTATGATGTGCTTTGCTGGTCAGCTAATTTTCAACCCCCTTTCCCTCCCAGAACATTCATTGTTGTGACTTGTTTGGTTTACTGTCCATCCACTGGTCATTACTGTTTCATGTTAATGGGAGTGTCTGATCCACTGCAACAAAGATGTCGGATTGTTCCTGATCATTTTTTTTCTCAGGATGGACTTTTTCTTTCATTGGCTGTTTTGGGGGGTGTAGGGCAGGGTATAAGGGATTCTATAACCTACTTGTAACAGGCATAACTACTCCTATTTGGTGGCTTAACTGTATCTTTATGTATTTGTTTGCACTTCGGTAACTTAATTGTCCATTGTGCACTGGTGTGCTGACTCCGAGGGTAGAGGGATCTCCCCCAGCATTCATGCTTTGTTACTACGACCATGGCCTCCCTAAAATTTCTTACGTGGATTGTCCATGGTATCAGGGACAAGGTGAAGAGATCTGCAATTTTCTCTTTCCTTATAAAACAATGTGAGGACATCTTGGTCCTGGTAGAAACCCATGTGAAGGGCCGCTTACAAATGGATCTTACATGCCCTGGATAGGCTGGGCCTTTCACTCAACTTACAGGACTCATTCCCAAGGATTTTCCGTCCTTATCCCAAAATCCACTTGTTTGAGCTGTGGAGATCTGTTTTAGATCCTCAAGAAAGATTTGTTTTTCTGGGGAACCACTATTGTTGATAGCTACTACAGTTGCAAGAAAAAGTATGTGAACCCCTTGGGATTACGTGGATTTTGCATGAATCGGGCATAAAATGTGCTCTGAACGTCATCTAAGTCACAACAATAGAAGAAAATAGTCTGCTGAACATAATAATACACAAACATTAGATGTTGCCATGGTTTAATTGCACATAACATGTAAACATTCACAGTGCAGGGAGGAAAAAGTATGTGAGGCCCTAGCTTAGTGACTTCTCCCAGAGCTAATTGGAGCCAGGAGTGAGCCAACCTTGACTCCAATCAGTGTGATGATATTGGATGTGTTGCTGACAGCTGTCCTGCCCTTAAAAAACACACACCTGTTTTGGGTTTACTGGTTTCAAGAAGCACTGTCTGATGTGAACCATGCCTCGCAGACAAGAGCTCTCAGAAGACCTACGATCAAGAATTGTTGACTTGCATAAAGCTGGAAAGGGTTACAAAAGTATCTCCAAAAGCCTTGATGTTCATGTGTCCACGGTAAGACAGACTGTCTACAAATGGAGAAAGTTTAGCACTGTTGCTACTCTCCCTAGGCATGGTCGTCCTGTAAAAATGACTTCAAGAGCACAGCGCAGAATGCTGCATGAGGTAAAGAAGAATCCCAGAGTGTCAGCTAAAGACCTACAGAAATCTCTGGCACATGCTAACATTTTTGTTGACACATCTACAATAAGGAAAACATTAAACAAGAATGGAGTACATGGGAGTACACCACGGAGGAAGCCATTGCTGTCCAAAAAGAATATTGCAGCACGTTTGAAGTTTGCAAAAGAGCACCTGGATGTTCCACAGCACTACTGGCAAAATATACTGTGGACAGATGAAACCAAGATTGAGTTGTTTGGGAAGAACACACAACACTATGTGTGGAGAAAAAAAGGCCCAGCACACCAACATCAAAACCTCATCCCCACTGTAAAACATGGCGGAGGGAGCATCATGGTTTGGGGCTGCTTTGCTGCCTCAGGGCCTGGACGGATTGTTGTCATTGATAGGAAAATGAATTCCAGAGTTTATCAAGACATTTTGCAGGAAAACGTACGACCATCTGTCCGTCAACTGAAGCCCCGCAGAGGATGGGTGATGCAACAGGACAATGACCCAAAGCATACAAGTAATTCAACAAAACAATGGCTGCAACAGCACAGAATACGCCTTCTGGAGTGGCCCAGTCAGAGTCCTGACCTCAACCCGATTGAAATGCTGTGGCATGACCTTAAGAGAGCGATTCACACAAGACATCCCAAGAATATTGCTACACTGAAACAGTTTTGTGAAGAGGAGTGGTCCAAAATTACTCCAGATCATTGTGCAGGTCTGATCTGCAACTACAGGAAACGTTTGGTTGAGGTTATTGCTGCCAAAGGAGGGTCAACCAGTTATTAAGTCCAATGGTTCACATACTTTTTTCCTCCCTGCACTGTGAATGTTTACATGTTATGTGCAATTAAACCATGGCAACATCTAATGTTTGTGTAGTATTATGTTCAGCAGACTGTGTTCTTCTATTGTTGTGACTTAGATGACGTTCAGAGCACATTTTATGCCCAATTCATGCAAAACTCCACGTAATCACAAGGGGTTCACATACTTTTTCTTGCAACTGTATGTACCTCCTCCCTTTAGTTCTACAATCCTCAGAGAGGGGTTTTCCTTTATTTACAGCTAGGAAATTGATAGCAAGACAGTGGATGTGGACAATACCAAAACTGAGAGCCTGGATCTGTGAAGTAAATAATACTTTGCCCTACAAGAAATTTCTATACATCCATAGGGGTTGCCCATTAAAGTACAAGTTTTGGGATCGTTGGCTGCAGTCCACCACAACATGCATGTGATTATACCACACCGCAGTAGTTTTCTCTTTGAATAACTCAAAGTCCAATCTTATCTGCCTTGTGCACTCCTTCCTCACATTTTTAATTTACAAGAATATTGTGTACCTGATACCCATGCTCTTTCCTTGGAGCAGCTGTTAATACTGTATGATTTTTGAGACCTCTTTGGCCTTTGGTGATCTATTATGTCCTGTTGCACATTATTATGGTTGTTTTTTTCTGTGATCCTGCCTATACCTACTTTAATAAAGATTGCTGTTTCCATAAAAAAAAAAAAAAAACTTGTGTAACTTTTATCAGACACCCACTCAGTATAATTATTTATGTTTACCTGAATGTATAGATAATAGTGGTAAAATCAGTTATGAATGGTTTCATTATCATTTGAAAATAGAGAGTGAGGCCCTGTGTGGGTGGGCTTTTGTTTGCTTCAATCTGGTTTTGCATTTCAATACTATGGGAAAGCAAAACCAGCTTAAAGCAGTTCAAATGCAGGTCAGAAAGAAGACCACTGCAGGTCAAATGCACCTGTCAATGAATCCTGACTGATCTCTGAAGCATGTCAAAGTGATGTCAAAGTGATTCCATTGACTCAAGCCCAAAGACCATTGGCTCAAGTTTGATAGCTGGCTGGAAAAACTTACTGAACCCTAACTAAAATGTTGTTAGTAATTAAGGAGGAACTTCAGCCCTCCCCATCTTTTACTCTTCCCCCCACCTGATTTGATAGGTTATCCTCAAGATAAATACTCACAGGTCTAGCAAATCCAGTGTTGTCCTGCTGCAATCCGCTGATCTACTGTTGCATTCTGGGTCGCATATCTCCTATTTTTTTACTTACGTAATCAGAGGCCCACTGTTGTTTCTGGGTACTTGCATCTAGCCCCCTGATGACACACATGTGCCTTGCAGTGTCATAAGTGGGCGGTCTGCAGGAACTAGTAGGAGGAAAATTGGCCCTCTGATGACACACACTGGTGTATGAAAGAGTACCCTGACATATCCTGGGATGCATGATGTTGGGATACAAGGAGGTCATGGGTGAGTGGGACATTATACTGGTTCTGGTCAGCTCAGTGGATTGCTTTAAAAAAGGCCTGTATTCTTTCTTAGACACACATAATATAACTGGTTCGTAACATTTATAGGTAAAGTTGATCCAGGGAATATCCGATTGCCTCTCGGGGGATCAGGAAGGAATTTTGTTCCCCTGCAGGAGCAAATCAGATCATGCTTTTCTGGGTTTTTTGCCTTCCTCTGGATCAACTGTGGGTACAGGATATTTTTTTTTTTTTATGGTTGAACTGGATATACTCTTGCCTAGGCGAGAAACCTGGAAGTGCTGGGAAATGTTCCTAAAAAAAAAAAATAACATTTGTGACAGGGAGGAGTGCAATGATGTTAAGTGAGTAGGGAGGGTAAATAAAAATCTGCAAAGTACCTAAGCTGCATGCTTTTCAGAGTGTACTATTTTATGCAAGCCATGAAATTAAAAAATATTTGGAAAACTTACAATTTGCAGGTAAGGAATGCTGACATTAAAGCTGTCATTCATGTTGGCATGCCACACAATTCTGACATTGGTTATGAAGAAAGTGCCAAGGTTACCCTTTGAAGAAAGAAAATGCTTGTAAACTTGAATCTGTCATACAATAAATACGCAGAAGCAGCAATGGCTGTATAAAATATATGCCGTTTGTTATCACTGAAATCCAGACAAATAGATAAATACACAGCTTAAAGCCAACCAAACATAAAAATATAAAGTCCACTTTTTCCGCAGTCCCCTACTCTGGGATAAAAAAAACTAAAAGAGTAAACCACTGAAAGAAACAGAATGTGCTCACCTAGATGAGAGTGACATGAGAAATACTGTCATCCCCTGAACATGGTGCCAGGAGGCTGTTAAGCATAGGAGCTCCTGATGCCCACCATGCAGATCTGGCCTGTGCCGGACTTCCCTGGATGGTACCCCCGTGAGCCTACCTGTTAAGTTCAGTGGCTCTAGTCGGGGGTCTGAGAGGTGTGGGCGGTGCTGGTGAGGATCACGTGGCGGCCGGCGGTGGTGGTGAGCCCGGTGAACAGGGCGGTACTACGGCAGCGTGGGGCTGTGATCCCGGAGTTGCCGGTGGGTCCGGCGCTCGCTGACAGAGGCACTCCCTGGAGGCTGGAGGAGCGTGAAGAGAGTTGGAAGGTGGAGGTGCCTGAAGGATTGAGCACGGAAGGACCCCGGGAGGGACTGCACACACGGGGCTAGACGCCCCACCGGCCCAAAAAAGGCTGAAACCCTGGGAGACCATGAGACCCGGAGACATCTGAATACTAGGTACCCTGAGTAGCACCCAGACCCCCCTTAGGATATGAATCGGGACACGAGTCTCAGATTGGGACAGAAGAAGAAGGTCCATGATTTAAGTTGTACATATCCCCTTTCCTTTGAACAGAAACGCGGAATGAAAAGAGAAACATCAAATGGGTATCAGCGGGATTAATCTCATGACCTATAATGTGAAAGGTTTAAATTCTCCCACTAAAAGGCATAAGATACTCAGAGAAATCCACTAACATTCTATAGATGTAGTGTTTTTACAAGAGACACATTTAATATATGAATCCAATGTTAAGTTATATTCGAGGTATTACCCAACCTGGTACTATGCAGACTCACCAATAAAGAGGGCTAAGGGAGTAGCGATCGGGATCTCGAGGAGTGCGGGCTTTGATGTGGAGGGGAAATTGGTAGACCCAGAAGGTTGTTTTTGTGTGTAAGAGGGAAAGTGTAGGGACAAAACTATACATTGGTTAACATCTACTGTCCGAATCAAACCCCAGAAGTATTCTTGCAGGGAGTGTTGGGGAAAATGATGGACTTTAAGAGGGGTAGTTTGATCCTGGCAGGGGATTTTAACTTATGTTTGGATCCATGGATGGATACGACTTCAAATGCGCAGAAAGGAGGAGGAAAAAAATTAAGATTAAAAAAGATGTTACATCAAAGTCAATTAATAGATACATGGAGGGTGAAACATCCCAGAGAAAGAGATTAAACCTTCTTCTCTGTAGCGCATAGATAGTATTCACGTTTAGATTATATAATGGTCGAGAATAGACAACTGGACTTTTTGGTTAAATCTAATATAGAAGTTATGTCTATCTTGGATCATGTACCTGTCACAGTGAGACTACAGGTAGGAGAGGATGGGAATAAGAGGGCTATGTGGAGATTAAATGAGATGCTTATACAGGAACCTGAAATAGAGAAAAGGTTGAGGGATGAAATAGAGGGAGTCTCTGTGGCTACTATCTGGGAGGCACATAAGGCTTACATCAGGGTATTTTTGATAGCCGCAGGGACCAAAAAAAGAAAGATCGTGAGAGAAAAAATAAAGGAGTTGACAGAGTTATATAGATTAGAACAGGAACATAAAAAGAGACAAGATACAGAGATACATCAGAAGACCATCCTTAAAAGAGAAGAGTTAAAGTACCTGTTGGAACAAGAAACGAGGAAGATTTTTAATAGGGTCTCAAAGGAAAGATATCAGTGGGGGAATAAACCAGGAAAATATTTGATGAAAAGACTGAAGGAAAAGAAATCTATTAACTATATCGAAAAAATAAAAAAAAAAAGGGGGAAAAAGGAGAACTGGTATATTCCACCACTGATATTGCACAAATATTCCAGAAATATTATAGTAGGCTGTATGATGTGAACCCCAAGAACCAGAAGGTAACAGAGGAAGAAAAGTGAGGGAAAAGGTGGGAATACTAGCGGCAGCAGACCTGCCAAAAATATCAGAGAAAAAGTTAGCATCCCTAGAACGAGCAATCTCCCAGGATGAAATAAGTACGGCTCTGAAGGATACAGCGCAAGGAAAAAGTCCAGGACCCGATGGGTACATGGTGGGGTATTACAACAAGTTTAAAGATCTATTGACCCCTAAACTCTGTACATATATGAATGCCGTAGGAGAAGGAATGGGAATAAGAGAAGAATCGCTCCAAGTGCATAAAACAAGTATTCTTAAAGAGGGGAAGGATTGTTCACAATGCGCCAGTTATAGACCCATAGCATTATTAAATACAGACACAAAACTCTTTGCGAAAGTATTAGCTACCAGGTTAAAGGAGTTGATGCCGGAATGGATACATTTAGATCAGGTGTGTTTTGTCCCAGGCAGAGAAGGAAGGGATAATGGCCTAAGAACACTGCTTTTACAAAAAACAAGGAGAGAAAAGCTGCCGACCATCATCCTGTCGATTGACGTTGAAAAAGCTTTTGACAGGGTGGACTAGGGAATTATGATAAACACACTAGAGGCTTTAGGAATAGGGACTAGGATATTAGAGTGGTTAAAGGAGCTTTATAATGATCCATCAGTGGCAGTTAAGGTAAATGGATCCCTTTCAGGGTTTTTTAAAATGTATAATGGCACTAGAGAGGGATGTCCTTTATCCCCGTTGCTATTTGTTATATCCCTGGAACCTCTGTTGGTGACAGTAAGAAAGAGTGTAGATGTTAGAGGAATTAAAATAGGAGAGGTGGATCACAAGGTGGCAGCGTATGCATATAACATGATGTTTTATATTGTGAACCACAGATTAACGCTACCTAACCTAATGGGATTATTAAAACAGTATGGTGAGCTCTCAAATTTAAAAATAAACCCTACAAAATCAGAAATTTTGAATGTTAATATTTCAAAGAAAAAGAAGCAGATCCTACAAAAAGACTTTCCATTTACATGGAGGGAGAAGGAACTAGGTTATCTGGGAATACAGTTAACCCCCTCAATAAAAAATATATACCAGGTAAATTATATTCCACTAATAAATTAAATAAAGGAAGAGCTGAGAAGAATTTCAAGGGGTAGGGTCTCCTGGATCGGGCTTATAAATCTGGTTAAGATGGTGATAGTCCCAAAAATTTTGTATAAATTCCATATACTCCCAGTTCTTATAACAGAATTCTTTTTCGCAATAATAAAAAAAATTGATACTTAAATATATATGGACTAATAAGAAACCAGGAATCAAATATGAAGTTTTGTGTAATAACAAAGGGAAAGGGGGATTAAATCTGCCCAACATTAGGAATTATTATATTGTGGTTATGCTGTCACGAGTTGTAGATTAGACATACAATTCACAGGTGAAAAGTTGGGTTAAAATGGAAGGTATTTTAAGTAATACATGTCTTGAGAAGATTATCTGGATAGCACGAACGTTTCACACTATTATTATACAGGAATTATATAGCGCCAACAGTTTGCGCAGCGAATTGCAAAATGAAGGTAGAAATTACAGTTACAATATAAAATGGTACAAAAGTAAACAGAGGGCCGTGCTCTATGGATGAGATTAGCAGCATGTTGACACGGGAAGTTTTGAGAGTCTGGGATGGAGTACACTTGTTTATGGGGTGGAAGTATAATTTTTTGTTGATTCCCCTGGTGGGCACGGAGTTTTTCCCACCAGGGAATGACAATATTTCAGGAAAGTGGTTTAAAAATGAGGATGCACATCGGATGTTGCCAAGGCAACCAGGGTTGTTCTTCCGCTGCCGAAGCTGCTGGGAGGTCTACGCTGAGGCCAGACTCCCGCAGCCAACCCCGCTGAGCACTCTGCATAATACTCCGGGGAGATTGTAGGAATATTATCCGCTGGGCACTCTGCACAATACCCCGGTAGATATCAGGACTGTTTCCCGCTGAGCACTCTGCATGATACTCCGGGAGATATTGGGACTATTACCCGCTGGGCATTCTGCATAATATTCTGGGAGACTCAGGATTATTACCCGCTAAACACTCTGCTAATACTCGGGGCTCAGGAGGGGTACCCGCTGCTACACTGCCGGATACTGTGGGGCCAGGATTGCCCGTGCTGCTGTGTGCGGAGGCTGCTAATACTCGGGGCTCAGGAGGAGTACCCGCTGCTACCCTGCCTAATACTGTGGGGCCAGGATTGCCCGTGCTGCTGTGTGCTAGAAATACCCGCTGTGTGGATCCTCTGGTGTGTGCTGAGAAGTATCGATACCTGCTGTCGGCTGCTGTGAGCCAGGAAAAACCCCTGCCAGAACTGTGAGTGTCATTTGCCCGTTTTCCCCCTGTACGAACTGTCAGTGAACTTTCCCCCCTTTCTCTTCCCTGCCTGGATTACAATTACCTTGGCCCTTCCCTGCTCCAGAGACTTGGACGCTACCCTCAGACCCAAATTGAAAGATTGTCATAATTCAATAAAGCTTTGAGTGTTCGTCATCTTCTCTTTGTATTCTGTCCTGCCTACGCTCCGTCACATATATGGACCGGGGAAAACTGGTTGGTGGGAAGGGACTTGGGGGGGCGGTTGGGGGTCAGGGTGGGATAATGTAGGAGAATGGCTTGTATTTCTTTTTTGATAATTATGAAAGAGTGTTGTTTTAAGTACTGAAAAAAAAATTAATAAAAGATATAATAAAAAATAAATAAAAAAAAAAGAGAGAGGGAAAGATTAATTAAACTCATACTGGACTTGTTAAAAACTTGTGGCGCTCTTACCTTCTACATCCTGTTAACCACTCCGGGCATACCCAGTATATTAGAAAGATTCCTTTAAGAACTGGAGATCACCCTTGACTATACTCTCTACCCTTGCGTTCAACACTCTGTTAACACTTTCTAAGCACTGGTTTCAAAGGCAAATTCACAGTTGTCACTAAAGCTATTACTTCTACAAAAGTTTCAATGTGTTGTGTTACCTGATCACTGGATAGATTCCATACTCCGTTGATTTTATCATAAACTTGTTCTTTGGGAAGAAGTCTTAGCTGTTTATTCTGAATCAAGGCTCCTCTTAGTTTGAGATCTCTATACATTTTGGATGTTTCATATGCTCTATAATAAAAGAACAATTAAGGTTAAATCGTTAAAATCTTTTCTTCTTTGAGGACCCTTTCACATCTGTCCACTGATCACCCACTGAGCAAAGTGGAGCAGGTGGATGACAGGTCCGTGTTGGCTCTGCTAAATGCAGAGCAGACACTGACACAGCCTGCTCTGCTCTATGGGCAGCCATATGTAAATAAACTGGCTGTCCGTTTTCACCCGACTGCCTTCCGATCCACTTAGATGAAGTGGATTGGATTCCCTTCCATTTGTTTTCAGCAGATCGGGTTGGAGGTAGGCAGGTATAAATGACACACGTCTGTTTACATCCGCCGCTCCATAGAGATAAATGAAGGGTCCAATTGGGTCCGCCTGTAAAAAAAAACCAGACAGGCACACATGATCGGAATGCTAGTGTGAACGGTGCCTAAGGATCATCATTACTTAAAAAGTAGTAATTATTCCATGCTGAAAATTATCTTACAACATTTACAATGCAAACAGCAAAATTCCTAACCATTTAGCTTGCAGCCAAAAGCATTTCCCTATATCCATATTCTCTGCTTGCATAGTGATTTTAGCCATGTCTTTCCATGTTCTTAAAACCCACAGGCATGTTGTATATTCCTGGGAATTCACTGGCTTGTCATTGGTTATTGCATGTAGGAAACAGTCCAACTTCAGGGTATCCAGACATTTATCTAAAAAAAAATTGTTCTGGAGAAATATGGCGGAAGCGAAAAGAGCTCTGAATCGGCAAATATGCTTCTGAAAATGCAGTTTGCCTGGCTGTAATGTTGACCTGTGGCCTCAACGTTTCTGACCCAGAACAAAAATGCAGGTATGGGGTAAGAGTACTCTGGTTTTATTTGCTTACTTGATCACAAAGTTTTGCTTTTGGACATTCAGACTTAATATTTATGGTGCTTTTATTATTGATTGCATGATTTATTAAGTGTTCTTGCATGGCAAGACTTCTTACTGTTATCTCACATATATATTCTTATTATTATAGCCAAAATTACCACCCTAACTCCTCCCACAGTTTTTACACTACATAGACAGTAATATACCGAAACGTGCAGATTGTTCCCGATTGGTGTGCTATTACTTTGTGGAACGAAAAATCAGGACATGATTTCTAAACTGCCATCACTCCCTCATTTTCAAGCCCACCTACACAAATTATATCAAAACGTTCAGCTATCCCTGCTGCCACTAAAAATGTCCATGGCTAAGCCATAGTCCTGATAGTTTTCACAATATTACCATTTGTTTGTAACTCACGCCGCCCATTGACATTCATTGAAACTCCACTCTAGCCACCTCAAATTTGAAGGGCAATTTCTAAACTGCGACTGACTTCATTTTTAATATTTCAGAGACATACTATGCATCAAAATGTAGGTCTGGGTCTTGTGATTCTCACAATATAAAGCTCTTCTGTGTAGGATTTATCATTTTTAAACTATAACCGTTTGAAGATGGCAACGGCCAGTGAAGTGAGCAAGTTGGAGCAGTTTGTTTTTAAACACTCTTCTCTGCCCTTGCTGTAGAGTGAGTTGCCATAGGAACCCAGGTGTGTGAGCAGGCAGCAGAGTGACAAAAGCTAGAGTGTGAGTTGTAGACTACTGGTGAAGGAAAGAACACTTCACACAATTTCCCCAGAAATTGTAGCTTTTCCAGTTATACTAATGTAATTGTATGTTCACAAAGTTGTTAGCATATTTAAGCACTTTGTGTTTGTTTTATTACTAGTGGATTAGTAGATTGCAAGGCTTATTCTTTTAAGCTGACCATACATGGATCAAAATTTGGAAGGTCCACGCTGAACCAGCTAAATTTCAATCCATGTATGGGCTCCCTGGTTGTACACAAGCTGATCTATCAATCGATTAGTGTACAACCACCCTGTCAGGTTATTCCCAAACAATTAGTGCTGCCAGCTATAGTCAGCAACACTAATCATTGTGTTCTGCCACCAGGGAAGGCTCCCTGATGGAAGAACACAACACATTCCCCAATCAACACTGACTGTGTTCATGGGGGAATCTAGCAATTTTCTTTCCTTTCACTTGTTGTGGTGGGAATCTAGCAATTTTCTTTCCTTCACTTGTGGTGGAAGGAAAGAAAAATGTATGGCTTCCTTAAGTGCTGCAGTATTATATATGAGAGAAATATATAGGTAGCTTTCCACTGCTGTCCTTTATCTTTAAAAATGCTAACTGACTGCTCAGTGCTAACTATTGGATCATGATGGTCCAATAGCTTTGGCATTTTCTAAATCACTGACCTAGATCTAGTATGCACTTACTCAGAAAAGTATTGAAGACACCAGGCAACCAGCATTTTTAGATGAATGTCACCAATGGCAGCCTACACATTTTTTAGTACAAGTTTCCTTTATAGCATCTAAAATACAACAATATGTGGCTTACCGATGCACAGCAATAACTGAAGTGAAAAGCCGAGGGCTTCCTGGTACCACATTTGTAAAAATAAACTCAAAGCGTGTGTTGTTGCACTTTGTCAATATATACAGAGCCTCTGTCTGTCCCCTCAATTTCTATTAGAAAAAAAAAAAAGAGAAACATCAGCAAGTTCTACCCACTAAAATCAGGATTAAAAAAAAAAATTGAGGTAAAATAATACAGCTGGATTAAAAATCTATGATGGAAGCTGCAGTACCCAGAGAAACTGGGCTGAATGCATTTCACAGCAGGAAGTCTGTAACTATTTGTCATGTAGCCCTACTGCAAAACCATTCCGGGGCACCATGTCTCTCTAATAGAGACATAGAATACCATTCAGGGGATCAGGAAGGATTGGGGCAAATTGGACCATGCTTTATAGGTTTTGTTTTTTGCTTTCCCCTGGATCAACTTTAGGCATAAGGCTTCGTATATTGACATTATTTATTCTTTTTTTTCTATTGGTTGAGCTTGATGGACTTTCTTCAATAGGACTAACTATATAAATTGTGTGCCGGTTCATTATAAATACACATTCATGTGCTTGCTGCTGACCGAGCCCCAGAGTGCTCACATAACTTGCTATGGCTATAGCTATTTTCAAATCTAAGAAAGTAACATCTCTTCATAAGTTTTCATTTTGTTAAGGGCTCGTTCACACAATGCCAGTGACCTGCATTCTTCCACACTGGATAAATGCAGGCCACTTCTTTCTATGTACCCTGTTCACACCACAATGCTGGTATGATGTGCAGTGTGTTGCAGTGTAGAATAACGCAGCATGTCTTTATGTAGCACACCAATAGGTCACTATGTCACTTTTCAAATATAGTTGAAAAAAAAGCAATGGAATGCATTGGCATTGGCACTGACTAGCCTGCATGTTAATATATTGCATTTTACTGTGCAAGCTATACTGTGATCATAATCTTAAAGCTGCAATGTTGACAGAACAGTTTCCTCTTTCAATAACTGTGTTTTAATATTACCAAGGAAATATTTAAAGCAGAATCATTCCTCATTATTTTCCCTTAATATTAAATCTGTAGCACATACAGTTGCAAGAAAAAGTATGTGAACCCCTTGGGATTACGTGGAGTTTTGCATGAATTGGGCATAAAATGTGCTCTGAACGTCATCTAAGTCACAACAATAGAAGAACACAGTCTGCTGAACATAATACTACACAAACATTAGATGTTGCCATGGTTTAATTGCACATAACATGTAAACATTCACAGTGCAGGGAGGAAAAAGTATGTGAGGCCCTAGCTTAATGACTTCTCCCAGAGCTAATTGGAGCCAGGAGTGAGACAACCTTGACGCCAATCAGTGTGATGATATTGGATGTGTTGCTGACAGCTGTCATGCCCTTAAAAAACACACACCTGTTTTGGGTTTACTGGTTTCAAGAAGCACTGTCTGATGTGAACCATGCCTCGCAGAAAAGAGCTCTCAGAAGACCTACGATCAAGAATTGTTGACTTGCATGAAGCTGGAAAGGGTTACAAAAGTATCTCCAAAAGCCTTGATGTTCATGTGTCCACGGTAAGACAGACTGTCTACAAATGGAGAAAGTTTAGCACTGTTGCTACTCTCCCTAGGCGTGGTCGTCCTGTAAAAATGACTGCAAGAGCACAGCGCAGAATGCTGCATGAGGTAAAGAAGAATCCCAGAGTGTCAGCTAAAGACCTACAGAAATCTCTGGCACATGCTAACATTTTTGTTGACACATCTACAATTAGGAAAACATTAAACAAGAATGGAGTACATGGGAGAACACCACGGAGGAAGCCATTGCTGTCCAAAAAGAATATTGCAGAACGTTTCAAGTTTGCAAAAGAGCACCTGGATGTTCCACAGCACTACTGGCAAAATATACTGTGGACAGATGAAACCAAGATTGAGTTGTTTGGGAAGAACACACAACACTATGTGTGGAGAAAAAAAGGCACAGCACACCAACATCAAAACCTCATCCCCACTGTAAAACATGGCGGAGGGAGCATCATGCTTTGGGGCTGCTTTGCTGCCTCAGGGCCTGGACAGATTGTTGTCATTGATGGGAAAATGAATTCCAGAGTTTATCAAGACATTTTGCAGGAAAACGTACGACCATCTGTCCACCAACTGAAGCTCCGCAGAGGATGGGTGATGCAACAGGACAATGACCCAAAGCATACAAGTAATTCAACAAAACAATGGCTGCAACAGCACAGAATACACCTTCTGGAGTGGCCCAGTCAGAGTCCTGACCTCAACCCGATTGAAATGCTGTGGCATGACCTTAAGAGAGCGATTCACACCAGACATCCCAAGAATATTGCTACACTGAAACAGTTTTGTGAAGAGGAGTGGTCCAAAATGACTCCAGATTGTTGTGCAGGTCTGATCTGCAACTACAGGAAACGTTTGGTTGAGGTTATTGCTGCCAAAGGAGGGTCAACCAGTTATTAAGTCCAAAGGTTCACATACTTTTTCCTCCCTGCACTGTGAATGTTTACATGTTATGTGCAATTAAACCATGGCAACATCTAATGTTTGTGTAGTATTATGTTCAGCAGACTGTGTTCTTCTATTGTTGTGATTTAGATGACGTTCAGAGCACATTTTATGCCCAATTCATGCAAAACTCCACGTAATTCCAAGGGGTTCACATACTTTTTCTTGCAACTGTAGTTGTAATATAACCAGCAAAGCATTACATTTTATAGATCTAAATTATACTTACTGAGTTAGCAGTCCTTGTAGTAATATTTATAATACAATTGTAGCCAACAGCTATAAAACAAAACAAGGATATTTAAAAGTAATTACAGTATGAAACAAGTTGTGATATGAGGTGTGAAATATTATGTAATATCAAATACTATTAAGGGAAAATGAAGTATTCTAAACATTTTAAATACATGTGAAAAAGACCAGCTGTATCTAAATCAGGGGAGGGCAAACTTTTTGACTTGAGGGCCGCAATGGGTTCATATATTGGACCCGGGGGCCGGACCAAGAGTAGATGAATGATGTGTATGTGTCATCCATAGTAAGTATAGTAATATTCCCCCATAGTAAGCATAGTAATTAATCCCCCATATAGTAATTCATCCCCCATAGTAATTCATCCCCCATATAGTAATTCATCCCCCATAGTAATTCAACCCCCATAGTAATAATCCCCCATAGTAATTAATCCCCCATATAGTAATTCATCCCCCATAGTAATTCACCCCCCATATAGTAATTCATCCCCCATAGTAATTCATCCCCCATAGTAATTCATCCCCCATAGTAATTCATCCCCCATATAGTAATTCATCCCCCATAGTAATTCATCCCCCATAGTAATTCATCCCCCATAGTAATTAATCCCCCATATAGTAATTCATCCCCCATAGTAATTCATCCCCCATATAGTAATTCATCCCCCCTATAGTAATTCAATTCACTTACCTTTGCTCCGCACGTTCCTCTCGCTGTGTTCCCGCGCCGTTCCGGTCTTCAGGGCGGACTGTGAGAGGAGCCTAGCTCCCCTCACGTTCGTCACGCTGCCCCGCCTACACACATCCTGACAGCCATCCTGACAGTATCACTCCGCGGGCCGGATTAAAAGGTCCGCCGGGCCGTATACGGCCCGCGGGCCGTAGTTTGCCCATTGCTGATCTAAATAGTCTAATCAATTTGTGCTGGTGTTTTAAAATTCTTGTTTTTATACAGTTTGTAAAGATATATGTACAGTTGCAAGAAAAAGTATGTGAACCCCTTGGGATTACGTGGAGTTTTGCATGAATTGGGCATAAAATGTGCTCTGAACGTCATCTAAGTCACAACAATAGAAGAACACAGTCTGCTGAACATAATACTACACAAACATTAGATGTTGCCATGCTTTAATTGCACATAACATGTAAACATTCACAGTGCAGGGAGGAAAAAGTATGTGAGGCGCTAGCTTAATGACTTCTCCCAGAGATAATTGGAGCCAGGAGTGAGCCAACTTTGACTCCAATCAGTGTGATGATATTGTTGCCGACAGCTGTCCTGCCCTTAAAAAAACACACACCTGTTTTGGGTTTACTGGTTTCAAGAAGCACTGTCTGATGTGAATCATGCCTCACAGAAAAGAGCTCTCAGAAGACCTACAATCAAGAATTGTTGACTTGCATGAAGCTGGAAAGGGTTACAAAAGTATCTCCAAAAGCGTTGATGTTCATGTGTCCACGGTAAGACAGACTGTCTACAAATGGAGAAAGTTTAGCACTGTTGCTACTCTCCCTAGGCATGGTCGTCCTGTAAAAATGACTGCAAGAGCACAGCGCAGAATGCTGCATGAGGTAAAGAAGAATCCCAGAGTGTCAGCTAAAGACCTACAGAAATCTCTGGCACATGCTAACATTTTTGTTGACACATCTACAATAAGGAAAACATTAAACTAGAATGGAGTACATGGGAGGACACCACGGAGGAAGCCATTGCTGTCCAAAAAGAATATTGCAGCACGTTTGAAGTTTGCAAAAGAGCACCTGGATGTTCCACAGCACTACTGGGAAAATATACTGTGGACAGATGAAACCAAGATTGAGTTGTTTGGGAAGAACACACAACACTATGTGTGGAGAAAAAAAGGCACAGCACACCAACATCAAAACCTCATCCCCACTGTAAAACATGGCGGAGGGAGCATCATGGTTTGGGGCTGCTTTGCTGCTTCAGGGCCTGGACGGATTGTTGTCATTGATGGGAAAATGAATTCCAGAGTTTATCAACACATTTTGCAGGAAAACGTACGACCATCTGCCAACTGAAGCTCCGCAGAGGATGGGTGCTGCAACAGGACAATGACCCAAAGCATACAAGTAATTCAACAAAACAATGGCTGCAACAGTACAGAATACGCCTTCTGGAGTGGCCCAGTCAGAGTGCTGACCTCAACCCGATTGAAATGCTGTGGCATGACCTTAAGAGAGCGATTCACACCAGACATCCCAAGAATATTGCTACACTGAAACAGTTTTGTGAAGAGGAGTGGTCCAAAATTACTCCAGATTGTTGTGCAGGTCTGATCTGCAACTACAGGAAAACGTTTGGTTGAGGTTATTGCTGCCAAAGGGGGTCAACCAGTTAATAAGTCCAAAGGTTCACATACTTTTTCCTCCCTGCACTGTGAATGTTTACATGTTATGTGCAATTAAACCATGGCAACATCTAATGTTTGTGTAGTATTATGTTCAGCAGACTGTGTTCTTCTATTGTTGTGACTTAGATGACGTTCAGAGCACATTTTATGCCCAATTCATGCAAAACCCCACCTAATCCCAAGGGGTTCACATACTTTTTCTTGCAACTGTATATGAAGGCAGTCCTATTTTCTCATTACCTGCTTCCGGCTAAGTAGTACTGCTCTGTGACTATGCCTTGATCTGCTTTCCCCACTACAATTCTACAAGACGTGGTCTGTCTGACCAATATTAATAACATGCAGCAAACGTTACAACAACCCTGAGGATACAGTGTTACCAAATATTTGTCAAACAAGAGAAACTATCTGTAAAGCAGGGATACAGCAGAAAACAGTACACCACCTCTGCAGTCTCTTGATGTAAAATCGGCCAGAGTAATCCTGGACAGAGAAAATGAGAGCTTTGTCTAAACTTTAGCTCAAATGATGGAACTCAGAAGTAGATATTTTTTTCTATTTAATACAGAGGTTCTTTTTTCAGTAAAAAACACTGATTAATGTCAAAAATTAATTTAATAAGAGTTCCAATTTGGGTTTAGGGTTCCATACACACTAGCTTTTTTTCAGCTCCTAGAAGCTATTATCAGCATATATTTTTCTGCTCCTAGAAGTTAAATAGTGATATCTTATGTGTCCATGCACACTACTTTAGGCTATTAGTGTTTTGTGAACTTCAGTGACTAAGAGCAGAACAAAATAGTTTTTGTAGAGGTTTTTTTGGAGTTTTTCCAGCAGAAAAACAAATGCTAAATGCTCCTATATGCTACTAAAACGCTCATACCAGCTTTTTTTCTTTCCTCTACATGTATTGTAAAACGCTAATGCTCCTAAATGCTCATAAAACGCTACTAAACAACACTATTGCCAGGGCTTTGTGTCCAGCATTTTTTGAGCTTAAAAAAAAATGCTAGCGTTCATTGAGGCTTAGAAGTATTACTGCAAAAATATGTGAATTTATCAATTTTTCCTCAAAAGTGAACTTATCCTTAAAGGAAGATACAGCCATGTTTTGTCCTGCTTAGGTGTCTCAAACAGTCAGTCGATTTGTAGACAGCCTACTGCCAGAAATGTTTCCGGCTGTGATTATAATCAGCCAGACTGGGTATCGTCTGAGGATTCAGAAACAAGTAAAAACTTCAATTGGCAAAACATGCATAACATTGGGATTTTACCGGACAGGAAGAACTATAGAGTGTGAGCAAGTATATCAGTACAAACAAACCTATTCTACTTACCAAGATTGACTCGAGGTAGTGCTATGGAATGCCATATTATCCGCAGATTAGTCACTAAAAGTCTGCCTGGAAAAACAACACATACACAAGTAAACAGAAATCCTGTAACTACACTATACTGCCAAAAGCATTGGGACACCCCTCCAAATCATTGGATCCGGGTGTTACAATCACCTCCACCATGGCCACAGGTGTATAAAATCAAGTGGTATTATAACAAAGTGGAAGCAACTGGGAACAAAAGCAACTCAGCCACGAAATGGTAGGCCAAGTAAAATGACAGAGTGGGGTCAGCGCATGTTGAAACGCACAGTGCGCAGAACCCCGCCAACTGTCTGCAGAGTCAATAGCTAAAGACCTCCAAACTTTGTGTGGCCTTCAGATTAGCACAACAACAGTGTGTAGAGTGCTCATAGAATGGGTTTCCATGGCCGAGCAGCTGCATCCAAGCCTTACATTACCAAGTGCAATGCAAAGCGTCGGATTCAGTGGTGTAAAGCACGCCGCCACTGGACTCTAGAGCAGTGGAGACGTGTTCTCTGGAATAATAGATCACGCTTCTCTATCTGGCAATCCAATGGACGTGTCTGGGTTTGGCGTTTGCCAGGAGAACAGTATTTGTCTGACTGCATTGTGCCAAGTGTAAAGTTAGGTGGAGGGGGGATTATGGTGTGGGGTCGTTTTTCAGGGGTTGAGATTGGCCCCTTAGTTCCAAGGAAAAGAGCTCTTAATGCATCAGCATTCCAAGACATTTTAGACAGTTTCATGCTCCCAACTTTGTAGGAACAGTTTGGGGATAGCCCCTTCCTGTTCCAACATGACTGCGCACCAGTGCACAAAGCAAGGTCCATAAAGACTTGGATGAGCAAGTTTGGGGTGGAGGAACTTGACTGGCCTGCACAGAGTCCTGACCTCAACCAGACAGAACACCTTTGGGACGAATTAGAGCGGAGACTGTGAGCCTGGCCTCACAAATGTGCTTCTGGAGGAAGGGTCAAACATTCCCATAGACACACTCCTAAACCTTGTGGACAGCCTTCCCAGAAAAGGTAAAGCTGTTATAGCTGCAAAGGGTAGGCCAACTCAATATTGAACCCTATGAACTAAGACTGGGATGCCATTAAAGTTCATGTGTGTATAAAGGAAGGTGTCTCAATACTTTTGGGAATATAGTCAGGGAGTTCAATTCATATCGCCCAACACCCGGGACATGTTGTTCCGAGTGTTGGACAGGTAGGTTTTTTTTTTTACCTTCAGGGCTCACCAGTCAGGTGGAAGCATTCGGGCGGCAGTGCTAGCGCCCGATTGCTTCCACACAGCCCACTATCGTGCCAGCCTCCGCCCCCAGGCTCGCTATGTCTCCCAGGCTCCACTTGCTCATCTGCAGGCCCGTGACCAGTTCAGTGGCTGCCGGCAGGCATAGGGGGAGGGAGGAGAGCGTACACATCTGCTCCCCTCCCCTTTTTGTTCTGAAGTGATGTGACGTCACTTCCGGGTCCCCGTTGACAGATTCCTAGCCACTGAGGCTGGGAATGAATGTAATGCAGTGCAGTGTGGTATTTGATCATCACTGGGTTTTTTTATTTATTGCACTATAAACAAAAAAAAAAAGACTGAAAAAAAAAAAAAAACAAAATTAAAAAAAATATTTTTTACTTTCTGCTATATAACATATCCAATAAAAAAGTTTTTAAAAATCAAATTTCTTCATGAATTTAAGCCAAAATGTATTCTGTAACATATTTTTGGTATAAAAAAAAAACAAAAAAAAACCCCAACATTTAAATAAGCATATATTGTTTGGTTTGCGTAAAAGTTATAGCGTCTACAAACTATGGTACATATACACTAGATTTATTTTTAATACCAGTAATGGCGGTGATCAGTGACTTATTGCGGGACTGTGATATTGCGGCAAACAGTCTGACACTGACACTTTATGGGAACCAGTGACACTAATACAGTGATCAGTGCTAAAAATATGCACTGTCACTGTATAAATGACACTGGTTGGGAAGGGTTTAAACATCTAGGGTGATCAAAGGATTAACTGTGTGCCTATCTATGTGTTTTGTGTACATACACTGCTGTTTTTACTATGCAATCTGCTAGATTTTCTTTCCTTTCTTTGCAGGAAAGAAAATCTAGCAGATCGCCACTGACAGGACACAGCTTTGCCTTGTTTACATAGGCAGAGCTGTGTCCTGGGCCTCTCCTTGATGCTCAACGGGTGCCAGCAATCATCCATTGGCCAGCACCTGTTGATCAGCTTCTGCTGTGTCTAATCACAGCAAAAGCAGTGTTCCAGCAGCCTTCGCGCACGCCCCTTCGCGCATTTATATATGTGATTTTGCACAGAACATCCACCCTGTAACAGTAAATTTGCTGTAGGGTAGACCGCAAGTGGTTAAAGCAGGGCAAAATGTTTACATATTGGTAAGGAACATGGGAATAAACGCTCAGAGCTGCCTTCTTTTAGCACCAATCAAAAGAGCAGATTTTTTTTTTTTAATAAGATAGGATATATAACCAAAAAAGTAGGGAAAAAATGGAGCTGCCTCTTTTTTGCTGCAAACCCTTCAACTGCATTGCTATAATTTTCTTTAATATGCAATGCAATATGGCAACCTGGAGGCATTCTGTACAAAGATGGTGTATAGAACGCCCCCCAGAAATGTCATTTCCTGCTTGTGTGCTTGGCTCAATGATTTTCCCAGAAGTCTGCAACTAAGATACAAGATTTTTGGTGAGATACTCCCAAAGGGAAATCACATCTAAAGGGAGGCAGACCCTTTCATTACAGCTCTGCAAGTACAGCAGCTGATTGATAATAAAATTACTCCCATAAAGATTCTCTCAAATCAAACAGCTACAGTATTTCTTCATAACAAAAAGGTAGGAAACTGCAACAAAGTTAAAATCCCTGCAATTTCTCAACAAAAGTGGAGTTATTCTATACCTATTCAATTCCCACCACCTCCCGCCCATACGGCGCTGCCTACTTCCAGGTTTCGGGTGCACAAATGTACACCCCCCCGGCCAGCACCCACTGTTATTGACAATCAACACAGAGCTTTGTAAAGCAAGGAAGAGAAACTTCAAGATCTATTAGTAAAAGTAACACACTTTACACATAGTTAGGCACATATTTAACCCTTTGATCACCCTATGAGTTAGCCCCTTCCCAGCCAGTGTCATGAGTACAGTGACAGTGTATTATATTATCACTGATCACTGTATTAATGTCACTGGTGATGTTAATGGCAGTTAGGTCCCCCAGCGTCAGTTAGTATCAGATTGCCCGCTGAACTATTGCAGTCCCATTGTAAATCACTGATCACCGCCATTAATAGTATTTTAAAAAAATAAATAAAACTTTCAATATATATATACTATAGATCGTAGGTGCTATAACTTTCACACAAACCAATCGATATACATTTATTGGGATTTTATTATCACATGTAGCAAAATACATTTTGGATAAAATTTATGAAGAAATTCTATTTTTTTATTGAATATGGTTCATAGCAGAAAGTAAAAAATATTGGGGCTTTTTTCCCAAAAAATTTTGGTCATTTTTGTTTTAAAAAAAAAAACAGCAGTGATCAAATACCACCAAAAGAAAGCTCTATTTCTGTGAAAAAAAAATTATATACATTTAGTTTGGGTACAGTGCTGCATGACTGCACATTTACCAGTTCAAGCAGCGTAGCATTAAATAGCAAACATTGGCCTGGTCATGAAGGGGATAAAATATTTTGGAGCTCAAGTGGTTAAAGAAAAAATATTTCATGAAAGGAATATGAAAGCTGTCATTGCTGAAGTTCTTTTTTTTAATGTTGGTTATCTAGTTGTCTTAGACTTAAAGCGGAGCTTCACTCAAAAGGGGAAGTTCTGCTTTAATGCTTGTCCCCCGCTCCCCATTATGGATTGGCACCTTTGACAGGTACCCACTACCACTTCTGCTGGGATCGCCTAGGCGATCAGAAGCGGAAATTGTTTTCCCTCCCCGTAGTCTTCTGGGACATGTGACAGGTCTCAGAAGACTACAGGGCTATTCACAAAGCGCAGCGCTTCTCGTGCATGTGCAGTGGGAACCAGGATGTGAAGCCGCAAGCTTTCACAGCCGGGTGCCCACACTAAGGATACCGGCGCTGGGGAGAGAAGATGGCCGGTGAAACCAGCGGTGGTGAGGACACCGCTGGACTGAGGGACAGGTAAGTGGCTGTATTTTAAAAGTCAGCAGCTACAGTTTTTGTAGCTGCTGACTTTTATCTTTTTTTTTTCAACTGGAACTCCGCTTTAAGTACTTTGAGCCCCTCACCTAGAACTATCATATAGCTGTAATGTCCATGTTAAATCAGGATTACTAATCTGCATTCTTGTTCTGGGTTAGTAAAACTGAAGCGAGCAGATCAGAATAGCAACTAGGAAATTAACATTTTCAGAAGGCATTCATCCTGTGTACAGTATTTCTTTTAACACAGGCTTCCCTTAAGCTGACAAGTGAGATGTCAACCCCGCGCGACTCTTGGGGGAAATCCTAAACTGGTTAAACCTTACCATGTTCCTATTGTTCCTCCTTACCCCACAAAGACTTGCAGCACTGGAGTGTCTAGGTGCTTCTGTTTTCTCTTTTTTCTAGTTCATCTAACAGTACAAGTGCATAGAAACTGTTGTAAAATTTTAGTTATATCTATACTCTTGTCACAGCTCTCTAGTAATCACTACATAGCAGCTGTGAAAAATCAACCTTACCTTCAGATCTGCATTGTCTGCCCAGTTACAATCACATCATCCCTCCTTTTTTGACTCACTGATTTTTTTTTTGTCTGAAGTTTTAGGAAACCTGTACTGAGAGAAATATTCAGACTTCCACTGCAAATTTCATTATAGAAATGCAAGTTGGGAAGTCATGTTGATCCTCTTGTTTCAACGCTTTCAGAATCTAACTTCACCCTGACATGCATCCTGTATGCTTGACCAGTTTACTGAAAGATCACCCCTGACCCACTTATACTCATGTTCTCTGTGTTCCCTGAGTAGCTCTGGGTGGTAAAAATAGGTGGTTGTGCTGTGGTTTTATTGCTCCCCTAAGCTGCAATGGAAACTTTGCTTCCTAGCAAAAATTATACCTCATGCGCAATGCAACTGTCCTGCAACCACATGTAATGCCCACAGTTATGGTGCTTTGGTGAGGGCTTTTTATGGTTAAATGCAGTGGTGAGGAGGTGACATATCACCTCCCAGCTGCCTGTCTACTGCTCTCTGAAAGTAATCCATTGTGGATCACTTTTCAGAGGGGAGGCAAGCGCTACCACAAGTGCAAATAATCCCTTAACCTCCGGTCACATCAAAGCCGATTTTAAAATCGTGTGACTTACAGTGAAGTTGTGTGATTTCAAAATCGGGTGACCTGCCAATTTCAGTTGCGATTTGCAAGACATCTGACACAGATGTCTATGAAAATCGCAACAAAAGTAGTGCATGCACTACTTTAGAAATCGGTGTGGCTCAGGCCAAGTCGGAACCGCACCAATATGACCACTTTAATAGCAGACAATAGGATGCAACTTGGCATACGATTTGCAAGTCGCATGGCATGCAAATCGCATGCAAAGTCGCGCCCGATGTAACCGGGGTGTTAAGCGTCCTTGCAAAAAATATTTCTGGGTCTGGTAGAGCAAGCGACCTCCTCCCAGGATGCAGTGGTCAGGCCTGAACACTGTCATGTGGAAGGAGGATATTATGAATTCTGTGCAAACTTCGGACGTTTGTCATGAAGCTTACACAAGGTTTAGACTCCAGAGGAGTGTAGCAAAGGTGAGTGTACAGTAAGTGAGTGTGGGTTGAATTTCAAGATTCCCCTAATGGACAAAGTGACCGGGACTCCATAATCCGAGTAACAGGAAACTGAAAAAGTATATGGAGGATGCCATTGCTTACTTCTAAAAATATCAGCTGCCTGGCTATCATGCAGAATCAGTCAAGTTTCAGTACTTCAAATGCTGACTCAGAACCATTATGCAGATTTCTGACTTTTTATACTGTATACAGTTGCAAGAAAAAGTATGTGAACCCCTTGGGATTACGTGGAGTTTTGCATGAATTGGGCATAAAATGTGCTCTGAACGTCATCTAAGTCACAACAATAGAAGAACACAGTCTGCTGAACATAATACTAACACAAACATTAGATGTTGCCATGGTTTAATTGCACATAACATGTAAACATTCACAGTGCAGGGAGGAAAAAAGTATGTGAGGCCCTAGCTTAATGACTTCTCCCAGAGCTATTTGGAGCCAGGAGTGAGCCAACCTTGACTCCAATCAGTGTGATGATATTGGATGTGTTGCGGACAGCTGTCCTGCCCTTAAAAAACACACACCTGTTTTGGGTTTGCTGGTTTCAAGAAGCACTGTCTTATATGAACCATGCCTCGCAGAAAAGAGCTCTCAGAAGACCTACGATCAAGAATTGTTGACTTGCATGAAGCTGGAAAGGGTTACAAAAGTATTTCCAAAAGCCTTGATGTTCATGTGTCCATGGTAAGACAGACTGTCTACAAATGGAGAAAGTTTAGCACTGTTGCTACTCTCCCTAGGCATGGTCGTCCTGTAAAAATGACTGCAAGAGCACAGCGCAGAATGCTGCATGAGGTAAAGAAGAATCCCAGAGTGTCAGCTAAAGTCCTACAGAAATCTCTGGCACATGCTAACATTTTTGTTGACATCTACAATAAGGAAAACATTAAACAAGAATGGAGTACACGGGAGGACACCACGGAGGAAGCCATTGCTGTTCAAAAAGAATATTGCAGCACGTTTGAAGTTTGCAAAAGAGCACCTGGATGTTCCACAGCACTACTGGCAAAATATACTGTGGACAGATGAAACCAAGATTGAGTTGTTTGGGAAGAACACACACCACTATGTGTGGAGAAAAAAAGGCACAGCACACCAACATCAAAACCTCATCCCCACTGTAAAACGTGGCGGAGGGAGCATCATGGTTTGGGGCTGCTTTGCTGCTTCAGGGCCTGGACGGATTGTTGTCAATGATGGGAAAATGAATTCCAGAGTTTATCAAGACATTTTGCAGGAAAATGTACGACCATCTGTCCGCCAACTGAAGCTCCGCAGAGGATGGGTGCTGCAACAGGACAATGACCCAAAGCATACAAGTAATTCAACAAAACAATGGCTGCAACAGCACAGAATACGCCTTCTGGAGTGGCCCAGTAAGAGTCCTGACCTCAATCCGATTGAAATGATGTGGCATGACCTTAAGAGAGCGATTCACACCAGACATCCCAAGAATATTGCTACACTGAAACAGTTTTGTGAAGAGGAGTGCTCCAAAATTACACCAGATCGTTGTGCAGGTCTGATCTGCAACTACAGGAAACGTTTGGTTGAGGTTATTGCTGCCAAAAGGAGGGTCAACCGGTTATTAAGTCCAAAGGTTCACATACTTTTTCCTCCCTGCACTGTGAATGTTTACATGTTATGTGCAATTAAAGCATGGCAACATCTAATGTTTGTGTAGTATTATGTTCAGCAGACTGTGTTCTTCTATTGTTGTGACTTAGATGACGTTCAGAGCACATTTTATGCCCAATTCATGTAAAACTCCACGTAATCCCAAGGGGTTCACATACTTTTTCTTGCAACTCTACTTGATAAACAAACGAAACCAGCGCTTCAATCCTCATACAGACTAAAAGAAATTCAGGATGCCAGACGAAGAGGTACTGCCCTTCAAAGATCTGGAAATCTGAACACTGGTGAAAAAGAGCAGACAAAGGAGCACTCTCATCGTGCATTGGTGTACCACATGTTTATTAAATAGACAAATGGATGTATACTCACAAACCAACAAAGATAAAAGCAGTATATGTGGTCCGCAATAACAGTCACACAAATGCTGTATCCTTAATAGGGCTAAACTAACGCGCTTCGGGAGATAAACCCTCTGAGCTCTGAGGAAGGGGGTATACATCCATTTGTCTATTTAATAAACACGTGGTACACCACGGTAATGCACGGTGAGAGTGCGCCCTTGTCTGCTCTTTTTCACTGTATACTTGATGACCAATAGGCTTCACATGCCAGGCAACTTTTCTTTCTAAATGGGGTCAAAAATTGCAGCCCACATATTTCTCTCAGTACTGGTTTTCCTTCAGTAGTTTTCTGCAGTGCTATTCTAGAAACCAATTTCAAAGAGGCGTTCCACAAAAATGCAAAGAATTTGGATCTGCAATTCTAACTTTCATTTCAACATCACTTTCTACTGAAATATAGTACAGTTGAGCAACTATAAAATATGGTGCCCATCTATGAGAATCACTGATTGATAAACCAGATCGTACGATTTTCGTTTAATCAGTACAGTAGTCGTCTGAAAATACAAAACAAATACAATGCAATACATGACATCACTTTCGAAATTCTTTTCTTTCATAGAAGAATTTTCGTATCTTTAGTAACCTTTTTACTTTCGATGTGAGACTAGCAGGTGAAAAAAGACAGCCGATATTCGTCCGATATTCTCATCGTGTGTACGGGGCATTAGTGTATTAAAATGGCCACAGTGGATTTTCTTTTAAACTTTAATTTCAATTATATACAAAACCAAAGAACACAAATGATGACAATTCAAACAAATAATACATATATTTACCTCGATCACCATTGTTCCCCTTAGTATCTTCAATAGAATCCAAACAATCTATAAGCACTTCTCCAGGTCTCATTTTCATTTGTCTGAGGAAAGAATAACCGAAACACAGAAAATAAGGACCGAAATACAGATGTCCAGAAATTAAATAAAAGAAGAAAGCATATGGTAAAACAAACCATACAACACAAAATGGATCAGTCTGCTTTCAGCATCTATGACTTGAAGCAAGATCACATTAGGGCTTCATTTGTCATATGTTGACTCTTATTCGCCATCAAATGCTGGATCATTTGCATTTCATGCCTCTGTGTTTGCCAGATGAGTTTTATTAGCTGCAAATTTGGATATGGCAGTCTTCAAAATAAATCCATATCTGCTCTAAGTAACATTCACTGTATTGTTAACATGTTACAAACCACCAGATCTGTGCTGCTGTGTAAATCAACTATTTGGACATTGCAAACCACTGTGTTTATTAATGATTTGCCCTTTGATTCCTATGGAGGATCTGTCATACCCGATTGCTCACCTGCTGTCACCACACATCTGATGCAAAGCATAAATATCCTTATATGTATACAGACACTCTCTGCAACTTCTGCTAGGGTCTGAATGCACGGGTATAGTTTTGTATGGCCCCATACACACTGCTGCAAAAAGATCAGTAAACAGCACTGCGTTCAAAATGAATATAAAATGATAATAAAAACAAATCTGTGTCCACAGTTCTGTGTATGGATTATTTTTTTTGCTGTATGCATGTAAACATTTGTGCTAACATTTACATGCATGAAGTGCAAACATAATCTACTGGCCTGTTCAGGGTCAACATGTAAATGATAACGTGAATTTAGTTGTTTTTTTTTTTTTACACACTATTTGGCTGACTAACATGTTAGAGACCTTGCGCTCCTCCACCTTTTCGTTTGAGGATGCCCCACAGATGCTCAATAGGGTGTAGGTCTGGAGACATGCTTGGCCAGTCCATCACCTCTACCCTCAGCTTCTTTAGCAAGGCAGTGGTCGTCTTGGCGGTGTGTTTGGGGTCGTTATCATGTTGGAATACTGCCCTGCAGCCTAGTCTCCGAAGGGAGGGGATCATGCTCTGCTTCAGTATGTCATAGTACATGTTGGCATTTATGGTTCCCTCAATGAACTGTAGCTCCCCAGTTCTGGCAGCACTTGTGCAGCCCCAGACCATGACACTCCCACCACCATGCTTGACTGTAGACAAGACACACTTGTCTTTGTACTCCTCACCTGGTTGCCGCCACACACGCTTGACACCATCTGAACCAAATAAGTTTATCTTGGTCTCATCAGACCACAGGACATGGTTCCAGTAATCCATGTCCTTAGTCTGCTTGTCTTCAGCAAACTATTTGCAGGCTTTCTTGTGCATCATCTTTAGAAGAGGCTTCCTTCTGGGACGACAGCCATGCAGACCAATTTGATGCAGTGTGCGGCATATGGTCTGAGCACTGACAGGCTGACCCCCTCCACCCCCTTCAATATCTGCAGCAATGCTGGCAGCACTCAGACATCTACAGTGAAGGAAATAAGTATTTGATCCACTGCTGATTTTAAATGTTTGCCCACTCACAAAGAAATGATCAGTCTAAAAATTGAATGGTAGGTGTATTGTAGCACTGAGAGACAGAATAGCAACACAAAGTTCAAAAGAAATGCATGTCTAACAAATTATGCACTAATTTGCATGCTCATGAGGGAAATAAGTATTTGATCCCCTTCACAAAACATGACTTAGTACTTGGTGGCAAATCCTTTGTTGGCAATCACAGAGGTCAGACTTTTCCTGTAGTTGGCCACCAGGTTTGCATACATCTCAGAAGGGATTTTGGCTCACTCCTCTTGGCAGATCCTCTCCAAGTCATTAAGGCTTGGTGTCTAACGTTTGGCAACTTTCAGCTCCCTCTACAGATTTTCAATCGGATTAAGATCTGTAGACTGGCTAGGCCACTCCAGGACATTAATGTGCTTCTTCTTGAGCCACTCCTTTGTTGCCTTGGCCGTGTGTTTTGGGTCATTGTCATGCTGGAAAACCCATCCACGACCCATTTTCAATGCCCTGGCTGAGGGAAGAAGGTTCTCACCCAAGATTTGATGGTACATAGTTTTGTAGCCCAGTCCAGCCTTGTGTAGTTCTACAATCTTCTCCCTGACATCCTTGGACAGCTCTTTGGTCTTTGCCATGGTGGAGAGTTTGGAATCTGATTGTTTGATTGCTCCTGTAGACAGGTGTCTTTTATACAGGTAACAAAAAGAAATTAGCAACACTCCCTTTAAGAGACTGCTTCTAATCTCAGCTTGTTACCTGTATGAAAGACACCTGGTAGCCAGAAATCCTGCTGAATGATAGGGGATCAAATACTTATTTCCCTCATGAACATGCAAATCAGTGCATCATTTATTAGACATGCATTTCTTTTGAATTTTCTGTTGCTATTCTGTCTCAGTGTTACAATACACCTACCACTCGATTTCTAGACTTATCATTTCTTTGTGAGTGGGCAAACATTCAAAATCAGCAGGGGATCAAATACTTATTTCCTTCACTGTATTTCCCAAAGACAACTTCTGGATATGACGCTGAGCACGTGCACTCAACTTCTTTGCTCGACCATGGCAAGGGATGTTCTGAGTAGAACATGTACTGTTAAACTACTGTATGGTCTTGGCCACTGTGCTGCAGCTCAGTTTCAGGGTCTTGGCAATCTTCTTACAGTCTAGGCCATCTTTATGTAGAGCAACAATTCTTTTTTTTCAGATCCTCACAGAGTTCTTTGCCATGAGGTGCCATGTTGAACTTCCAGTAACCAGTATGAGAGAGTGAGAGCGATAACACCAAATTTAACACACCCGCTCCCCATTCACACCTGAGACCTTGTAACACTAACGAGTCACATGACAACAGGGAGGGAAAATGGCTAATTGGGCCCAATTTGGACATTTTCACTTAGGGGTGTACTCACTTTTGTTGCCAGCGGTTTAGACATTAATGGCTGTGTGTTGAGTTATTTTGAGGGGACAGCAAATTTACACTGTTATACAAGCTGTACACTCACTACTTTACATTGTACCAAAGTGTCATTTCTTCAGTGTTGTCACATGAAAAGATATAATAAAATATTTACAAAAATGTGAGGGGTGTACTCACTTCTGTGAGATATTGTATATAGGATTTTGCTGACAGCATTTGTCTACGTAAAATGATACACCCATATGCATGAGCCCTTTAACCTACCTTAATGTGTAAAACCAAAGGCAGCAAAAAATGGCAAATGGAGAATGGGCGGATAAATGAATTCATATTCATACAGCACTTTTCATTCTGGGAACTGACTGCAGCTTTTATGGATGGAACAGGGGGACAGAAAAGACAGGCATAGTTTGCACTTTTGACAAGTGCCTGTAACAGGTCCAGTGGTGTGCATTAACCCCCGTAGCACCAGAGGATCACAGTTGCGGGGGGGGGGGGGGGTATGCAGGGGTGGCAGAGGACTGAAGATTTAAAAAAAAACATGACAGCTATCAGCACAAGAAACACGTTACCTTCAATGTAAGTATTGTCCCTGGTGGTGATTAGAAAAAAAAAAAAAATTAGCTAAACCTAAAGCGGAACTTCATTCTTTCATCAACATTTACTATTCTTAATCCTTATGCTTCTAGCATTAGTAAATAGATAGGAAAGTATATTATATTTTCTTGTTATAAACTTTTTTTTTTACATTTCTCTGTTATGAATAAGCAAGCTATTTCAGTGTGAAAGCATCAACAGTTTATCTTGTACTGCTCTCCTTATTGTGAAGATATTTGTTTTGGATTAGTTCTGTAGTGGTGTACAGCCATTTATCCTTTACTTGTTTTAACCTTATGTTTACTGCATTTCTTCAGTTACTTCCTGGTTTCCAGGCCTAGGCAAATGATGTCATACATTCCAGAAGTCTTGAAGAGGAGCATTCTCAGCTAAGCACACCCTCCTGTCTGTGTGCCTGAGCTAAGGGCAGATGGATTCCAGAAGTAAATGTTACATGAATTATCTTCCCTTACTCAAGATGACCACGGTCAGAAATTCTAGGGGGGTGTTTTTCAAAGTGATTTCTCAGCAAAATAAAATAAAGCATGGGGGAGTTTGCTTTTAATATTAAAAATGAATTAAATGGCGTTTTTGGTGTGTGGTGCTCATATACAGTGTAGTCCCAGTTAAGCTTTAGATGCTAGGAATATTCTCTTGGAAAGGCTGCACAATATGTATTTAATATATACAGGAAAATAATCCAAATTATACTGTTATATGTACATATAAACAGAAAAAAAAACAGTTTTATTCCTTAATAATGTATTTTAAAGCATCTAAATAACTATAATAAGGTATAATATTGTTGATATACCAAGCAATTATATATAAGCAGGATCCTAGCTCTGCTTCAAAAGACTGGTACTTCCTTCAGATTTAACACAAGCATCAGATTAGCAACTAGGCACTTAATCAGATTAAGCAACATCAGCTTGCAAGGTCAGATGAAGCAAGTGTAGTAAGTAAGGAAAATATGATGACATGGGTAGTAACCTTGTTCATTTGCCATCACTTTAGTTCAAGTTTACTAAAAGCTGACCTCCAGGAAAATTAAAATTCCTCCTTTGCAGTGGGGCTGCGATCTCATTGAAATGGTTAACGGCTTGTTTATGTTTAGAGGTCTGGGTACAACAATTGTATTTGCCCAATCCTCTGCTCCCACAGATCAGTCCCTGCAGCCTCTTCTCCCCTATCTGCTGCTCAGAGGTCCTTTGACATCATCAAGCCCAAAGCATGGCACATAGTCCTGCACTGGAAGTGAAGATGTTGAGGAACAGTCCATTGTGAAAGCATGAGGGAGCATACGCAGTATGAGAGAGAAAAGAAAAGTTCAGATTTTATGTAGAGATGGGATGGGCTTCCCTGAAGAGATGAGTATTAAGGGACTGCCTAAACGAAAACAGAGTAGGAGACAGCTGAACAGATTTGGATAGGGAGTTACAGAGGAAGAGAGGCTCTGGAGAAATCTTGGATGTAAATAAGGGA